GCTCCCAGCCTTGCTTCTTTTACTCACCTGCAGAGATTGCATCCTGACAAAGGATTCCTCCAACCTTCTCTATCAGATCTCTCAGTGGCAGTTTCAACTGCTTCAGTTTCAACTCTCACTGATGGATGCTGCAACCCAGCCCTACCCTATGTGCTCCCATCCCTAGCTCATGCAAACTGTGAGGTGTGATAGTGTAGCCCAGCATGACCTGCACTCTAGTCTGGCTCTTGCATATGTCAGTGAGCTAAGACTGGCTTGGGCATGCCTGGTCTGACCCCTCCAAAACCAATCCACTCACTTGTTGATGGGTGGAGCTACCTTGCCTGGGCTGACCAACACATGCCTGAAACACATGCTCATCAGTGGGATCTATGGCCCACCAGGGGAGTTTTCCAAGTTCCCCCACTCAGCCCACTCCCATATCCATATATCACATGTGCCAACAGGTGCTAGGTCCTTACCTGGCCTATTCCCTCTGTCCTGGTCTTCGTATGACCTGGTGGATGTTACAGCCCAGCCCACTCCACACCCTCTTCTAAGGTGCATCTGCAGGTGCTACAGCCTGCACCAACCTGGCCCGTCCACAACTCCAGCTCCTATGAGAGTTCCACAGTCATGCCTAGCTCAGCCCATTACCACATCAGCTCTTAAGCAAACCAGTGGAAATTGCAGTTCCACAGGAGTGGGCCCACATATCCCCTTGCCCCAAATCTGCCCCCAGACTTGGTTCTCTCTTATGCTGATTGGTGTCATGGCTCAGCCCAACATTACCTGTCCCCTGTTCTGACTCTTGGTGGGTACTGTGATCTAGCCCTGCTGTCAGGTAAGTCCCCAGCCCTAGCTTTAACGTGGGCCTATCAGTGGTGGTCAGCTGTGATCCATGCTAATTAGCCCAGCTCAGGTCTCCCATGTGGGCTGGTGCACCTGTTTGACCCACAAAAGTCTTGTGGCCACTCCAAACCACTCTGTTTCAGACCCCTTGCTTACTTAGTATGTACTGTGACCTTGTGTATGAGAGTCATTCCTCACCTGCAAAATAGTTCCTCAGTAGTCCTTTATCTCCCACATTCCCTTACCCCTTTCCCTGATAATTCCACAGTCTCTGCGCCCGGGAGCGCATGGGCTTCCTGGCCAGGTCCACTAGCACTCCACCCTAGTATGCTAATCCAGGACTCTGTTCTCCCTTTCCTCTGGGATCAAGCCTGTGGGGAAATCCTCAGAGTCACTCCACCTGACTAGGCATGAACCCCCAGGTCCACACATGCCCCCTGTGGCACCATCCCCTAATCCCCCTGCAAGCCCACACCCCCAGTCCACACTATAGCTCGATAGTGGCAGCCCGGAGGAAGTCTCAAATGTCTTAAATGTTTCAGCTCAAATATTTCACAGGGTCTTACTTTTAAAAGATTTATTTTGAAATTTATTTTATTGGAAAGGCAGATTTACAGAGAGAAGGAGAGATAGAGAGAAAGATCTTACACCCACTAGTTCACCCCTTAAATGGCTGCAATGGCCAGAGCTGAGCTGATCCAAAGCCAGAAGCCAGGAAACTCTTCCAGGTCTCCCATGTGGGCGTTGGGCCATCCTCCACTGCTTTCCAAGGCCAGAAGCAGGGAGCTGGATGGTGGATGGTGGAGAGTTCCCAGTGGAGCAGCTGGGACACATGAACTGGTGCCCATATGGGATACTGGTGCGCAGGGATGGAGAGTTAGCTTGTTGAACCATGGCTGTGGCACCAGAATCCATAAGTTTTGCTTGTAGAATGACCAAAATATTTTCAAAAGACAAATTTATTTTCTAGTACATTGCATTATCTCTGCTTCTATTGAAGGTCTCAACGATGTACATCTTGGTGTGGTGGGTAGAGCTGTCTCTTGGAACAGCTGCATTCCATGTCCAAGTGCCTGGTCAGATCTCAGCTGCTGTACCTCTAGTCCAGTTTCCTGCCAGCCAATGCATCCTTGGAGGCAGTGGGTGATGGTCCATGTGACAAGGCTCCTGGCTTTTCCCTGGCCCACCATTGACTATGGCAGGCATTTTGAGAACAAACCAGCGGACAGGCAATCAATCTCTCTCCTTGTCTTTGTTAGACAAACACTAAAAAGAGGTCCTACCAGGTTAGTGCTGCAATGTTAATACTTTTCAATTTCATCTCAGTTCAATATAGAATATAACTATTCCAATAAAGTAGCTTAATGAAGAGAAGTTTTTTTCTATGAGTCAAGATTCCCCCAAAGCATAACTGGATATGTGAAGGGGTCTCAAAACATAGAAAATTTGCATCATGCTTTCTCTAGTTTGTTTATCTGTTTCTCTGAGAACACTAGTGTGAGTGCCAACTCTTGTCTGCTGGTCCACTTCCCTGATGTCCACAAGAGATGGGGCTGGTCTAGTCTGAGTTTGCCTATCTGGGTGGCATGGACCAATGATTTGAACTGTCTCCACCCACTCAGAGTCTTCATTGCCTGGAGGTAAGAGCTATAGCCAGGAGCCATAGCCAGGCACTCTGATGTTGGGCATGGGCATCCTAACTGCTAGATTGAATGCCAGGTTCTCACATCTTTTAATTCCATTCTTTATAAACTTTTTGAAGTTTTCTCATATATCCAGAGGAAATAAATCAGTATGTTGAAGGGATACCTGTGCTGTTGTGTTTGTTACTGCTTTAGTCATAGTAACTAATGGGTCTAAATGTTCTTTCATGGATAAATGGGTGAAGACAGTGTGGCATATATAAATAGTGGAATACCATTCAGTCTTAAAGGAAGGGTCATGTCATCTCTGACAACATGGAGGAACCAGGAGAGCATTATCTTAAGTGACATAAACCAGGCACAGAAGATGCATACCACATGATGTCAAAGAGAGAAACGGTGGTTACCAGCAGCGAGGGGGCTGGGAGGATGGGAGAAGAGGTCAGAGGACAAAACCCTCAGCTAGGAGGCAGATGTTCAGGAGATCTTACTGTATGTGATGGTGAGTGCCGTTGTAACCACTCATTATAAACTGGAGGTGTGTTAAGAGGTTAAGAATTCTCACCACAAATAAATATGTGAGGAAAACATATATATTAAATAACTTGATTTACTAAATTCCATAATGCACTTGTAAATATACCTCAATGTATGCCAAAACTCATCAGTTAAAAAGAACAAAAACTCTTTCAAAGTTAGATCATGCACAAATTAAACCTGTTCTGTAACAACATTTTGCTTACCTAAAATAGATCCAAGACAAATGCTGGGTCATGGTGTTCGGATGAAGTGGCACCTGGGACAGTCACGGCTGGGGTTCACCTGTCCCAAAAGCCTGCCCAGTTTGACCCAGCCTGGCCTCCCTCTCCCAGCCTGTGGACGCCCATTCATCTCTCTTGCATCCGTAGACACATGTTGTTTACTAATGTTGCTACCACTCTGTCAGGAATACTGTTCCTTTTCTTCCTTACCTGGAAGCTTCCCCTTTTCCTACAACTCTGGACACGTCACCATTTTCTCTAGATGTTTCTTCTTGATCCCTCCAACATGCTCATGGTCTACATCAGGCTATACCTTGTTGAGCTCTTCTTTCTTCCCCTCTTCACAACATTTTTGTTTAATGTCCTATTCGGAGTCCTGCTCTTTGCTAGCTATGATGAGTTATTGGATACACTGATTTGTGCTAGGTGATAAATGATGCTGGCGAATTGCTTCTCTGCTCCTTAAAATGTGTTTACATTTCACTGTGGTGCTTGAAATGGGTGTGTGCACATCTGGGAGGGCACAAGACCATTTGTACAGGTAAGGGTGGAAAAGTGTACTCACTCTTCAATTAAACAAAAATAAGAAATTAAAGGTTTCCAATATTTAATATGTTGGTCGAGAAAGTGCTTGTAGGTAACAATAAGTCCAATTTGAATCTGGTATTGTGTACTACATGTTTTTATTAATGGAGTAAGGATTTGAAGACTGCTGCTGCAGAGGCATACTGATATCCTTGGGGGATAACTCTTTAGACTTCTCACACTATAATGGCTAACACACATCAGGTGTTCCCTACATGTCACACACCATTCCATATACTCTACAGGCATCAACAGATTCCTTCTTCACAGTTTGTAAGGCTGGTGTGATTATCAACATTGTTTTGGGGGTGGGTGGCTAACGACGTCGAGCTCCAGGACCTGGTGACTTGTTCAGGATCAAAGTTGGTGTGTGGCAAATTCATGATAGGGCTGATGGGATCTGATCGCAGAGGCCACTTGCTCATAATGTGCTCCGTGCCATGCTGTGGTACCTCTCTGCTCCTATATGATAGACCTGTATTTTTCACTGTGATTACATGAATAAACAATTCTTTTTATCTATCTATCTATTGATTTTTTTCTGAATAAACAATTCTTAAATGAATAAAGAAACTGAGAGGTCTAACATCGCCACTGATGGAAACTTGGGATAAATATTCTGTTATTTTTAACTTGAAACCATTCCCCCTCCCTTAAGTGAGTATATGAGATGAGAAATTAGCATGAGTTAAGTTGGCTGTCCTATGATTAGAAGCTTTATTCAGAAAAAAGTCTGCATCAGCCTCACACCCGTGAGTCAGTTAGCGGTCCCAGCTTACGTGACTAATGCCTTTCTTCCCTTTGTCCTGAGGCTAGGAGAGCATAAGAAATAAACCTTAGTTTCCCCGTGTGAGGAGTCACTCAAACATGTATAATCTTAAAACAACAAGAGCAGCAGCAACAATGGTAGCAAAAATGATAATGACAAAGAGAAGCAGAGCTTTCCATTTTCTGGATTCAGCCACTTATCTTTCCGGTTCGGAACCTAGGTTCTTCATCAAGAGGATGTATAGTAAATATTCATGGATTCTGGGCATTGACAAAATTATCCTTGGTGAGTTAGGATTCCATCTACATGTAGAAGAGTAGAAGGGGAATTTTATGTGATAGCATATTCAGATTTTAATATCACTGTATGCAAATTATAATAAATTTGCTTTCTTCCTTGTTTTCCTTTCAGGTTCTTTCAGCACACTCACTCTGCCAGCGGTAAGTACTCACTTAAAAAGTTCATCTTTTCGGGGAGACGTTGGATATAGCAGTTGAGATGCTGCTTGGAACTCCTGTGTTCCATTGTGTGAGTGCTTGGGTTTGAGTGGCTCAGCTGTTCCCCAGGGGGCAGACCAGGGTTGAATTCTTGGTTCCCTGGCTGTTGTGGGCCTCTGGGGAGTGAATCCGAGGATGGGGATTCTCTCTCTCTTTCTCTTAAATATGTAAGTGATAAAACACATTAAAAAATATCTCAGTTTACTTAAAAAACATTATTTAAAGTTTTTAAAGAAGATTTAGTTATTTTTATTGCAAAGTCAGATTTACAGAGAGGAGATAGAAAAGATCTTCCATTTGCTGGTTCATTCTCCCAAGTGGCCACAATGGCTGGATCTGAGCCAATTCTAAGTCAGAAGCCAGGAACCTTCTCCAGGTCTCCCACATGGATACAGGGTCCAAAGGCTTTGGGCCGTCCTCCACTGCTTTCACAGGCTCCAAAGCAGGGAGCTAGATGGGATTTGAAGCAGCCATGACTTGAACTGGTGCTCATATGGGATCCTAGTGCATGCAAGGTGAGAATTTAACCATTAGGCTATCGCACCAGGCCCACATTTAAAGTTTTAGTTTCAGAAATACATCGCATTAGTGAAATAAGTAAAATTCTATTGGCTTTTGTAGTGCTTTAAATTTCTTCTTAGTTCGTTTTGAGTTTAGTTCAACTTTCAAATTATTTAAGAATTGTATTTTTTAGCGAGTTGTGTTCTTAGGCCAAATGACAGAAGACTGGCCTCTGGAGGAAGCTGGCCTGTACTGTTAGCACGGAGGGCTGTGCTGGCTGGGGCTTGCTCTGCCTCCCAGCATCTTAGTGCCTTGAGTGTGCTGTTGGGCTTCTGCTCCTGAGGTCTTGGTCTCGCAAAGGGCAGGGCTGTGCTCAGCCATGCTGAGGCAATAGAAGCAGAAACACTGATCCTGCCTTTGTTTATGACTTTGACTTGTTTTTTGTTGTTAATAATATTTCTGCATAATTTTGATATTTTGCACTGTTTCACTGAAGTTTTCTTGATGATTGAACTTTTTTGGGATACTTTTAAAAATTTTGCTTCTGAGACAGTTGCCTCACTCACCTCATCCTAGCCCTGGTCCTAGAATAGGGGATAACAATACCGCTTCTCTCCCAGGAACACCCTGGCATGAGATGAGATGTGAGAGTGTTGTAAAATTTGCTATAGAAACATAAAGGGGTTATTACATCACTGAGAGGGTCGTTGAACCTGACCTTTAAGTGTTTTTTTGTGTGTTTTTCTGTTTCTAATAGCTTCAGTTTGGGAATTGTGCTTTTTACAGCTTCATATGTTTAACATAAACAGAGTAGGCTCAGGCCTATTCCAACAAAAGACACGGTTAGGTGTACTGTTCTGAGAACAACTGATGGCTTTGGTTGTGACGTAGTACAGACTCAGAGTCAGCGTGGCTTCATGGAGTAGGTTTGTTCATTACCTTTTGGGCTTACTTATCAAGCACACTCAGAAACCAGACTTGTTTGTGGGAGTCACTTGGGGGGCTCCGCAAGAATCTAGTGCTTTTGGATTTTCTTGTTAAGAAATGTCCTGGCATACCAACAGAATGTGGATGGGGGAAAAAGGCATGAACAGGCAGAAGTGGAGAAAAAACATTTAGTCTTCTTATTTCAAAAATTGCTGGAGAGGTTGAGAGAAAGAGGCCTCCATGGGGGTCATCACTGATGCTGGCTCCCAGGGTCTGCACCCACCAGTAGCTGGGATCTGGAACTGGAGCTGGGAATTAAACCTGATATTCTAACGTGACCCATGCTGACTTAATCAGGATCTCAATTACTGGGATAAGTGCCTGCATCAGCTCTGCATCTTGGTGACAATAAAACCTCGAATCACATCAATGTGACTTCAGATATTAGAGGCTGACCTCAGGGCCTGAGTGCTGCATGGATACTCCAGTGATGAGATCAAAATAGATCCTGTCTCGGGCCCGGCGCGGTGGCGCAAGTGGTTAAAGGCCCTCGCCTTGCACGCCCGGGATCCCATATGGGCGCCGGTTCTAGTCCCAGCAGCCCCGCTTCCCTTCCAGCTCCCTGCCTGTGGCCTGGGAAAGCAGTCGAGGACGGCCCAAAGCTTTGGGACCCTGCACCCGCGCGGGAGACCCGGAGGAGGCTCCTGGCTTCGGATCGGCATAGTATCGGCCCGTTGCGCTCACTTGGGGAGTGAATCATCGGATGGAAGATCTTCCTCTCTGTCTCTCCTCTCTGTATATCCGCCTTTCCAATGAAAAAATAATAAAAATAAATCTTTAAAAAAAAATAGATCCTGTCTCATACAATTTCCCTAAGCATAAGTAGGATGGGATTTCAGTTCAGAAATCACAGCTTCTACTCCAGTACCGGTCTGGTTTCTGGAAGCTGCAAAGTCACAGACCAGAATTTTAGAAGAGCTGAAAGGAGAAGACTGGGTAAAGCTATGAAATATTTTCACTTGTTGAAACTCCCATTAGCCAAAAATTCAGCTACTATAATTCTTTTAGGTCTTAAGTATATGAAACACTAACTCTGATGTTCTGTGTTCCTCTTTATGATTATTCCATTCCCATAATATGTAGATTTAGGGTATATTAATTGAAAGCTTTGCTGGAGATTATATTTAGAAGTATATCCCTTTTGGTATAGCTTATGGTTTGGCATAAATAAAAGGTCCTCTATTTTCATTACAACTATTCTGATGTTTGTAAACATAATACTTTAAAATTAATTTTTAGGTTTTCTTGATTTTCTGTCATACTGTATGAACAGTATATGACTACAGTGTATGATTTATTGTTTCTCTGCTTCCATATGTGAAAATGGCCCTCAATACGAGGAGTATAAAATAGAACTGATGCTTAATATGAAGATTATTTTTTGTTACAAAATATGACAAAATTTTTATTTGTAGATGAATACAACCTAAAATGAGAAAGTTTTAATCAGAAATGCTTTTAAAAATTATTTTAAGTCTAATAGCAAACACAGTTTGATTGAAACAGTTTGAAATTTCTCAGGTTTATGTTAAAATTTATTCTCATTACTTTTAGTAATTGGCATTATTCATGAAGTTAATGAGGATAAATACTGATGTGCTGTCTCATTTTCTTTTAAGCATTGAATCCCTCAGCTAAGGTGCAGGTGGGAGCAAGTGATTCTCATGTATTGTCCACCAAGGATCTTTCTAGCATGCCTGCCTCTGTTATGTACCCTGGGTAGAAAGCTGTCATCCACATGCATAGTTTACATTTGTGTTATAAACAAAACAGACTAAGCATTGCTAAGAACCTGTTCAGTTCAGAGGCTGATTGATATTTTGTTAATCTAAGTCTCACAATAACTTTTGACACCCAGACCCCTTGCCCTGCTGCCAGAGAGTTGCCAGTCGTGGGAGCTGTCCCTTTCTCCTGGGCCTTCCGGTCAGCTACGGAATACAGCAGCTCTGCAGGCACTTTGCTAATTCTAGAGCCCTTTTTGGTGTAAGTGGATTCCTAATTGACCAACAGAGACACAGGAGCTTTGATTGCCTGTGGGAAACAGGTTTAGAACTTATCCCTGGTCTGGCACATGGAAATTTGTGGGAAGATTGTTCAAAATCTCCAGTTTCTCTCTTAATGTGTCTGCATTGTTAATGATGCAAGACGGAGCACCAGTTGTAGTTGAAGGAGACATCCCCTGGCATGTAGTGATACTCCATGCTTTGCAGAGACCCAAGGATTGACGGATCAGAGCCCACATTGTCGTCTCTGGTTTTCCAGTGTAGAGATCAACCCTGAATTGTTGAGGACTCCCACATTTATTAAACTTATGTGTGGGGTGGCAAAAAGTTAAAGTTACCCCTAAAAAGGCAAATGGATGGTCCACAACAAGTGTCTGGAATAGCATTACCTCTCTGAAGGGGGATGGAGTTGGAGGAAGAATGAGTGTTTGGGTGTGTTTGTGCTTTTACCACCTGTGATAAATAGGCCTCTTTAACTTTAGGTTTCCTTATCATTCATTTGACATTAATCTTCAGTGTCATGGGGTCTCTGTGCTACTAAAAAATGATCAAATTATATTCACATCATACAGACCAATTCCATCATATCTCATATTTTAATTATCTTTTTAATAAGATTTATCTTTATTTTTATTTGAAAGATAGAGTTGCAAAGAGAGACTGAGAGAGATCTTCATCTGTTAGTTCATGTCCCAGATGGCCTCAATGGCCGGAGCTGAGTTGATCCAAAGCCAGGCTCCTGGAGCTTCCTTTGGGTCTTCTATGTGGGTACAGGGGCCCAAGGATTCGTGTCATCCTCAACTGCTTTCCCAGGCCATAAGCATGGAGCTGGATCAGAAGTGAAGTAGTTGGGATGTGAACCAGCACCTACACTGGAGGCTGGTGCTGCAGGTTGAGGCTTAGCCTACTATGCCATGGCACCAGTCCTACATCTTCTATTTTAAAGCATGAAATATTTGTAAGACTGTGACATTAAATTAAGCTGGTACAGGGGCTCGAGGCTAACCCTTTACCTTGCAATGCTGGCATTTCATATTGACACTGGTTTTAATCCTGGCTGCTCCACTTCCTGTCTAGCTCCCTGCTTTTGGCCAGTAAAGGATGGTCCAAGCCCTTTGGATCCTGACCAATAGGAGATATCCAGAAGAAGCTTGTGGCGTCTAGCTTTGGATAGGCTCAGCTGCAACCGTTGTGGCCATTTGGGGAGTGAACCAGTGTATGGAAGATCTTTCCCTCTGTCTCCCAGTCTCTACATGAATCTACCTTTACAATAAAAGTAAATAAATCTTTTTTAAAAAGTCGTTGATATTAGAACCATGCTATGCTGGTTCCCAGCATATCTATATTTTTTTCAGCTTCTAGTGTTAGAGAATCTAATGCACAGAACCTGGGGACTAAGGTATCACTTGAGAAAATAGATTATAAGTGTGTAAGTTCCAGTGTAGACTTTCAGTCTCCCTAGGACACAGGTCTTTCATTAATGTTATATCCCATGTACCTAGCCCAGCCTGATACATGCTGTAGAATGTGCTCAATAAATATTTGTTTATTGAGAAAAGCAAATGTTGACACCAGAAACAGTTGGCAAGGCTGTTTTTCCTAAAATTTTTAAATGAAATTTCTAAATATGCAAAACCTTGAAAAAAGATTTCATAGCAAACCAGCCTATACCTGTCAGCCAAAGGTTCCTGTTACCATTCTATTGCACTTGTTCTATGATTCTTTGTTTATCTAGCCATCTTTTTATTCATTCTCAGATTCATCTTGCTTTTTGATATGCTTCCAGGTAAAATGCAGACATCAGTACTCTTCTCTCTAAATGCTTCCTGTTTACTCTTTTATTGCTAATAATGGTTTCCTAAGATTCTCCTCATATTTTTAACTGTATTGATGGCTTTTTAATTACTTCTGTTACTGGAAAATTTCTCCATGAGCCTTATGTGGATAAAAATTATTTACAAAAGTTAGGATGTAGGTTTAGAATCTCATATTTCATATGAAAGCAATTTAAGAAATAGGACCTACTAGATATCTATTGCTGGGTAACCTCTAGCATTGCCTTTAAACAGCAACAAGTTTATTTCTACAGCTTCCTTTTTTTTTTTTTGAGGATTTGTATATTTTATTAGAAAGGCAGATTTTACAGAGAGAAGGAAAGATAGAGAGAAATAGCTGGAGCATAGCTGATCTGAAGCCAGGACCCAGGAGTTTTCCCTCCAGGTCTTTCCTGTGGGTACAGGGTCCCAAGGGAGCTGAATGGGAAGTGGAGCAGATGGGGCATGAACCCTCACCCCTATGGGATCCTGGTGTTTTCAAGAGAAGGATTAGCCAATCAAGTCATTGTGCCTTGTGCTCCTCACCTCCCCCCCTTTTTTTTAGTCCTACAGTTTCTGTGGGTGAAAATTTTGGGAACATTTCTGATTCAGATCTCATGAGTTTGCAAACAAGATGTTAGCCAGGGCTGCAGTTGTTGGAAGTTTCATTAGGGCTGGGGAATCTACTGTGGAGGGTCTTATCTGGCATATGGGTGGCCATGGATGGGGGGAGGCCTTAGCTTCTCCTTCTGGCCTCTCCACTCACATCATTAGTGAGTGATAAGATGGGAGTGGTAAGAGGGAGACAGAGAGAGAGGGAGGAAGAGAGAAGAGAGAGAGAATATGAACAACATAGAAGCTGTTCTTTCTGTGACATGGCCTTATTCTAGGTTTTTAGAAACAAGTCATTAAGTCTAGGGAGTTAAGCCTCACCTTTTAAAGGGAGGAAGATCAGATATCTTTTGAACACATTTTAAAATCAAATATAGTTCAAGTTGGCTAGCAACTTGTACTAACTTCCTCATTTTTGAAGTGGTTTTAGCAAAAGCATCTGATCCACCTGTAGGATTATCAGGAGGTTAAATGGGATAGTACCTATAACCTACTTAGCGTGGCTTCTGGCCTGTTAATGCGGGAAAGTGGATATCAGGACTATAAAATAGCCTGATGGCTGCTGAGAGAAGAAAAAGTTGCATGACGTGTGTACCCATTCCAGAAACCCTGTGATGTAATTAGAGAGAAAACTATAGAAAGTTAAGAAGGGAAAACAGGGGCAGTGCCATGGATAGTAAGTTCAGCTTCTGCCTGTGGCACCAGCATCCCAAATGGGTACTGGTTTGTGTCCTGGTTGCTCCACTTCTGATCCAGCTCCCTGCTCATGTGCCTGGGGAAGCAGCTGAGGATGGCGCAAGCCCTTGGGCCTCTGATCCCACATGGGAAAGCTAGAGGAGGCTTCTGGTTTCTGGCTCTTGGCTTCAGATGAACTCAGCTTTGATGATTGTGACTATTTGGGAATGAACCAACAGATGGAAGATTGTTGTCTGTCTTTCCTTCTCTTTGTAAGTCTACCTTCCAAATAAAAATAGATAAATCTTTTTAAAAACAAAATGTTTAATCTTTGTGCCAAGGAGGGATGAATTTTTCGACATTGCAATTACCTAAGATAATATTCTATGTTGAAAATTTCTATTGTAACTTATATAAAATTTTTGACTATAAAATAATGAGACCTTGGTATGTGTCATCTCTTTTTTTCTCCCTAGCTACCCTTGAACAGTGCAAATGAGATTTATGAGTTACGTGTAATTGGAAAGGCCCAGAATAAGACTTTATTCTCTAATAGTACACGCTTATCATTTGAGACCAAGAGAATCTCTGTCTTCATTCAAACAGACAAGCCTCTATACAAACCAGGGCAAGAAGTGAAGTTTCGTGTTCTTACACTCTTCCAAGATTTCAAGCCTTACAAAACATCTTTAACCATTCTACTTAAGGTAAGTACCAAACAGCTGTGAGGTCAGGTGCTCAAGCCATCTTACTGAGAAGCTCTTTTGGATAGTTCTGCCCATGGTGCAGACACTGGAATGTCTTAGAAGGCAGAAAAGCGAACTTTCCCACTTTCTGGAAGAAGAGGTAGTAGAGCACTGGGTGAAGAGCTCAGACTCTGAAAGTTTTCCTGTTTGAATTCCAGGGTTCTTCACTGATGTATTCATTTGTCAGGCATTTATTAGCTTCCTGTTTTCCAGGCACCGAGGTGAGGCAGTGAACAGGGCAGGCTTCAGTCCTTACTCACATTAAATTTATTTTTCAGAGGGTATTGAGGACACAATAAATAAATATACACAAATATATACATATTATATATATACACATAATACATTCATATACATATAAATATCTCTGTGTATAATACACAGGGAGAGAAAGAGAGACAGAAAGAGATAGATAGAGAAGGGGTAGTGAATTTCCTTTAGGGCTGTCAGGAATGGTCTGAGCAGAGACCTAAAGGAAATGTAAGAATGAATCCATATACATAGAGAGAACAGCCTGTGCAAAGGACCTGAGGTGTGAGCTCCTTTGGTGCATTGGAGGAACAGCAAGCTGGCTGTGCTTTGCAAGCCAGGGAGTCAGGGGACAAACATGTAAAGGTGAGGTCAAATAAAAGTAAGTGGGTTGGGAGTTGGGCTCATATTGAGTCTTGGTGACCATGATATGCACTTCAGGTTTTACACAGACCATGAGAATTCACTGGAGGATTCTGAGGAAAGGCATGATGTGACCTGACTCAGCATCCTGAAAGCATCATTATCAAGTCTAAGAAGAATAGCTGTTAGCTGTGTAACCCTAGGGAAATTACTTTCTGTGTGTTTCCTTATCTGGAGAGTGTGTAAGTATGTGAAGATAATACGTACCCAGATTTTGTGAAGATGAACTAATTCAAATAAGACATTTAGAACCATGTCTGGTACATTACACTTGCTCACTAAGCATTAGCTGTTATTCTTTTTTTTTCTTTTATTTTGGTAATCTTTACATAGTTGATTAGGGCACCAAGGGTCAAGGATTACAGGAAAGTGGGTAAGACCATTGTTTCTACATTTGTGTGTGTGTGTGTGTGTGTGTGTGTGTGTGTGTGTGTGTGTGTATCTGGGGTAAAGAGGGAGATAAAGGGAGAAGCGCCACCCAACCTCCCACCCCACCCGAGGGTCCCCAACATGGGGCATGCTCTGAGGGCATTGCTCACGTGGTTTCAATAGTTCAACAGTTCTGAATTGCTGCCAATTTCACTATTTGAAGCATGATGAAATCTCTCTAGAATCCACTGGCTGATATAGTCCACCTTAGGGTCCCCATTTGCTCAAATTTTCATTGCCAACACGTGACTGGGGCAGATGATCCATTTGTTCTGTCCTCTGTCCTCTGTCCTCTGTTGTGGTTCCAGGTGTCCTCTGCAGGCTCCAATGGACTGCCATTTCCTCCTTGTGCACTTGGATATACTGTCTACTTTTCCATCTGAGCCTCTGAGGAGTACAGCTTTGACACATGCACTCCATGATCAGACCATGGAACCTGCACTTCTCTTCATGATTGGGGTTCTGGGATCAGCAGTTCAGTTGGAGGGATGTCCAAAGAAACTTAGTCTGAAGTGATCCCAGTCCTGATTCTTGTGTGTGAATACCAGTACAGGGTTTGGCACAGTCTGTCGCCCCAGTCAACTTATGGCTATGCTGGTGGTTGCAATTGTGGGTCAGCTCTGTTTCCAGTCCTGTCTTCCACACAAACCAATGGGTGTTGTAGTCAAGCCTGATTCTACCCGCCTCATACTCAGTCGTCACACAAACCAGTGGGAGCTGCAGCCTAGTCAGGGCGATTCCCTATAACCCCCACCAGGCCTGCTTGCTGCCCTGGTACCTGTGCTTGCCAGTATGTACAGCAGACTGGTCCAGTCTGTCCCACATCCCATTTAGCTCTCGTACATGTCAATGGGCATTGAAGCCTAGTTCGACCCAACCAACCCTACTTTCCAGCCCATACGCATGCTGATGGATGCTGTTCTGTCTAGCCACCCCTATCCCAATCCTGGTTTTCATGCTCTCCAGTGGGAGTGGTAACCCAAAAGGTAGGTGCCTACTATTTCCCTACTGGGCTACCCCCACTCTCAGATCATGCACTTTTCAGTTGGTTCTGGAGTTTAACTTGACAGAATTAGCCCCCAGTGCCAGCCTCTGCCAGCTGATGCTGTGACAAAGTCCAACCAACACTCACCCACTCTGATTTATGCTTGCATTGGAAGAATAGTCAGCCCAGTCTGGCTTTTCCCTGATCTAGCTCACATGAGGCCCACAAGTGTTGTAGCCTTATCTGGTCTGGTCTGCCCCATCCCAACTCATGTTCTCCAGTGGGAGTGGTGGTCAGGCAGTGGAGCCCTCCACATTCCCCCTGCTAGCTTTGTCCCCTCCCCTGTTGGTTCTCACGTGTGCTTGTTGGGTGCTGCGGCCCAGTCTGGCATGGCCTACCTTGCCTTGGCATTTGCCAGGGGATGCTGTAGCTTGGCCTGGCCCACCCCCAATTCCAGCTCCTGCTGGTGGAAGTTACAGCCTAGCTAACCCAGCCCAGCCTAGCCATTATTCTTACAGTTATCATTCTGACAGGTGGTTTCTTCCTTGGCTTCTTCTGCCTGCCCACTCTGATGATCTGGAGGCACCAGGTTGGCAATCCAAGTGTTTTCTTGGAGGATCAAGTAGAAAAGGAAATTATACAGTGCAAGAAAATAGGGCAATTCATTCACTCCAATTTTCCTGGAACACCCTGGCAAATTTTAAAACTGACAGTCCCTTGTCTTGGGACATGGGTTGCTTAAACTGTTGTAAGGAATAACACTACATGCATGGTAGACCTATGCTTTTAGCTTCATGTTTTCCCATTCCTAGTTTCTTTGGTGTTGTAAAAGAATGAAAACAACAGAAACAAATCAAGAAAACTGATACACATATAACTTCAAGTCAAAACATGTTGGTAATAAATACCATGTTGGTTGGCATGGTGCTCAACGTGTATTTTTTGAATCTCAGGGTGTTATTTCAGAGCATGCAGCTCTGTGGATTTCTGCCTTTATTCTGTAACAGGATATCTATGGAGAAGACTGGCATGGTGAATAGCATTTCTAAATTCCTGTGACACCTAAGTATGTGTGTGGAGTGAATTCATGACTTCATTCATGAGCTGACTTCATTTGTTCAACCTTTACTTTTCACTCAAATATACGAAGAATTTTATGTCAGAAACAGCCTGAACTGGGTGATTTAAAAGTGAACATGTCCTTTTCTCTGGGTGGTCACATCCTGTCCTTCTTTCACCCTCAGACAAGTAAAAGTTATCGCTGGATCAATTTCCTGTTGGAAGCCTTAATCTAGAACTAACCTTGCCGATTTGGACAGCTTGTCTGTGTGTTTTTATAGCTTTGCCTGTCTGCTTGCCTATGATATCTGCCTTTGAAACATACAATTTGTAGCTTCTTTGGACTCTTCTGTGCAATTTTGGATTTAACACGCCACATTTAGCTTTTCCAGTAAGACTCAGTGAGATCTTCCTCATGCTAGCTGCAGCACTGAGGTATCCTACTGGCTTGGCCAACATGTGATATTCTCTTGGCCAGAGGAGAGAGACAGTGAGTGAAGGGTGGCTGTACACCTCGCTCTGCACCTAGTCAGTGTGGCTTTGATGTGCAGCTTGGCCCAGCCACCTCCATCTTGTAACTTCCTGAGGCCAGGCCAGACAAAATGCTTTAAATATACTGTTGAACTCCTGCAGCTGAAAACAGTCATCTGAGCCAGGGTTCTCTGGAGTGTGATGTTTCCTAACACCTTTCAGTATGGAATAATTGGTTTCTTGGCAAAATTTTACCCTCAAAAATGAGACTTAGGGAATTAGAACCACTGGGATAGAATTGTGCTCCTAGCACAGCACCACCTTCAGGCTGATATGGAGAAGTGCATGTAAGCCCCTACAGGCCTTCTTTGAGGAATCCATCTCTCAGCTACGAATGGTTCTAGAATGGAGCTAATGCAGAATGTCACAGCATATTCAGGGTTGATAGGTATTGTGGTTTTTGTATGTTAAGGGTGGTAGAGATGTGATTGGAACTATGTAGCCTTCCTGCTCCTGTAACTGACCTTCTCAGGAGGAAGGGCAGGGAGTTGAGCAGCTTTTGATGGTGAAGCATTCATGCACTAACTGCATTAGTTAGTTAGTCTGCAGTACCAGCTCTGGCCTCCTGCAGCCAGTTTGGCCCACGCCTATGGAAATGTGTGCTTCTGATGCTGTGACGGCAGCTGGATAGGTGAGTTTACATGGGAACGGATGTCACCTGCTGGGGGTTCATCTATTGACTGTGCCTGGGGTAACAGTGGCAAACTCCGAACTTCAGAGCGGGTCAGGTGAAGTGCTAACCTTGTTTGAGTGAGTTGACTGCTGTAGTTCTGCATGCCACATAGATGTTTACTTCATGCTTAACCCAGGACTTGAGAAATAGTCCTGTGGACACATTCTGCAGCCAGGGAATTTAGTGTTTGAGATGTCTGGCACAGGTAGCAGATACCGTGCTATGCAAGGCAAGTGGCAGAGAGCTAGAGCCATCCAGAAGTGACTCAAAGGGCACGAGCATCTGCTGCTCTGGTGTCTGTAGCATACTCTTGGTTGTGGTCTTGAAGGTGTCCCAACAGGAGAAGAGCATGTGCAAATGCTGGGTTCTGCTGTGAGGGCCCCATGTGATCTCTTTGTGTACTGATGTGCTCTGGAAAGCCTCCAGCTGTTTTGGCATCCTCTGAGCCTTCCTTTTTGGGGACAGTAAGGCCTAGGTCCAAGACAGACTTAGGAAACTGAGGGATTAGTTCATTCTCTCCCATTCCTCTGGGTAGTCATCAAAGATGTCTAGTCAGACTTGCGTGTGAAGGGCTGTGCTACCATCTGTGGAACGGCTACTCAGCACAGTCCTCCACCAGCTGAATGTGGGCACATCCTCTGCCTACACTTTCGGTCACCCTGGCACTTATGATTATTATTACCTTTTTGGGGTCAGTCTAACACAAGAAACACAGTATTTCATTGTTTCATTTGCAGGTCTTTGATAACCGGACAGCATTTGAAGTTCCTGCTTTGTTTAGGAGCCTTGAAACTCCATGGCCTCCCATGCATCATACTGTGGCAGGCTGAGTAGAGCCAACTGCTGGTTACAATGCTTGACCCAGGAGTTTTCTAAGAATACGGTGACCTGCTTCTGGTTGATAGATTTTTGAGTAACTATTGTCTCTGACTTCTTAGACTATTCCCCCACATAGTTCTCAGCATCATGCTTGATCCTAGCTTTCATATCATCTTCTAAGTGAGAGGTTTCTTCTGGCTTCTAATAACTGGGTCAACTCACCTCTTCTAGTCAATGGACAGAGAGTAAGAGTAAGGGGACGGGCATGGTGCAATGTCTCAATTGGCTGAGCCTCTCCCTTCAAGTGCCAGCATCCCGTCTAGACTCCAGTTCATGTCCCAGCTACTCTACCACCTGAGCAGGATCCCTGCTGTGGCCTGGTAAAGCAGGTGAGGATGGGCCAAGATTTTGGGACCCTATATCCATGTGGAAGATCCAGAAGAGGCTCCTGGCTCCTGGATTTGGTTCAGCTCAGCTCCAGCTGTTGTGGTCCCCAGTGGATGGAAGATCCTTTTCTGTCTTTCCTTCTCTCTCTAAATCAGCCTTTCCAAAATAAATAGTTCTGTTTTTTTATGAGTAAGGGAAAGTATTTGATATTTTTTTCCAAGAGCTTTGAGTCTAGATGAGAACAACAACAAAAACTTTGTGTGAGATACAATGTGTAAAATAAACACTTGGGGCTGAAGAATGGTGAACTCTAGCTATATAAGGGACTCACCAGGAAGTGGTTACCTCTCCTTGTTTGAGGCAGGTGTGGAAAGCAGAAAGCTGAAACTTATTTCCGTGGTGGGCAAGACAGGGGAGGGCATTCTGGATAGCAATGGCAAGAGATTTCTGCATAGGAAGTTGGGATGGGGGGAAACTGCAAGCATTTGTATTTTTTTTGGAAAGATGAACCAAGGAATATTGATGCGGTCAGATTACTGATGATCTTGCACACTATGCAAAGGACATGAGACTTTCTGCAGGCAGACCAAGGCCATCAGCCTGTAGTAGTCTAGTGTTGCTCATAACCCATGTTAATTCATTGACTGTTCTACACCATGAGCTGTGCCTAGCATTTTGTCCACTGTGCCTCATCCTCACAGCTGTGTTCTAGATGGACCACACCCTGGGCAAAGGCAAAGATGTATCAGAGGTTGTGAAACTGGAGGGTGGAGGTTAGTTATACTAGTTAGAAAACAGGGTTTGATGGTAGATGTGAGGAGGGTAAGAAGGAGAGAAGTTGGAGAGAGAAAATGAGGCAGAGTTGATATGACTGGGAATGTGAGAGAGGATCTGAGATGGCTGCTGGATCACTTGGATGTATGTTGGAGGAAAGAATTGTGGTCTGGGAGGTAATAGGTGGACTGACATATTAAACACATCTCAATACTATTGTTGAATTAAAAGAATCATGTGTTTGAGTCCTGAATTCCATCACATATAGTGCTGTAACGTTGGGCCATGTCAGTTCCTGGGCAATTGAGTGTTTACTTAATCCCTCCAGGAATCAGTTTTTCAGTCATTGAGTGAAAATAATCCTGCCCCAGAGCTAAGGCAGAGGACCTGACCCCGAGGGAGCCTTTAGTGAGTGGGGCCTGCTATCCCTGCCCTGGAACTTCTTCTACCACCACCATGGCCTCCACCAGTGTGGAGACGCACACACTGCTGGGTTTCAGGAAGAAGGAAGCAGGGTGCCAGGAATTAAAAGGTGGGATAGAATCAAGATATTTTCATGAGAACTAAATTTTTGATCTGTCTTCTTCAGTAGTACAGGCCAGGTATTTCCCTCATACAATCTTAGTGCAAAATTTTGACAAAAGTTCTGGATGCACTTGAGACTGCTGCAAAACATCCTTCCTAATCAGACAGGAATGCCATGCTTGTGGATAGCTTTTCATAACATGTATGGTTTCCATTTCAGGATCCCAAGTCAAATTTGATCCAACAGTGGTTGTCTCAACAAAATGAGCTTGGAGTTGTTTCTAAAACTTTTCAACTATCTTCCCATCCAATACTTGGTGACTGGTCCATTCAAGTTCAAGTGAATGTGAGTATGATTATATATATTTTAGAGAACATTAAAATCATTGATATAGGTGGGAGAAAGATCTCCAAAGCTTTTTATTCATTGAACAGAGAAAAATCAATATGATTATCTAGAAAATTTCGAGAAAATTGAAGAGATTTGTCTTTAATTTAATCTTCATTGGTAGGCTATTAGTATTTTAATCATCCTTGACTTTTTCTGTGGCATAGTATTTGAAATTAAAATGTTTTGGCATATTGGTATAAAATGGTTTAATTTTTTTTTGCATGAATTGAATCTTAAAAATAAGCAATGAGTGGGTAGGTATTAAGTCACACATTTTATGTCCTGAGTGATGACTCCAATTCGGGCTAACTCAGTTGGTCTTTGACTTAAGAAGCAGAGACTTTGCCCAGCCATATCCATGCTTGTTCCTCATCCTCTTTCTCTCCAGTTCCTCCACTGACTTCCTTCATTTGCTGCCAACTTGCCGAGCTTTGGAGTCCAGCAGGGTGGGGCTGGTTTCAGGCCTTCCATCTTTTTGGGCCTCAGGTTTTTGATCTCTGCACCCCTGGGTCACACTTGAAGATTCATTGACTTTTGTCATTTTTCTCTGAAATTAATTATATTAGATTTTCATTAGTAGGAACTTTAAAAATAATTGTTAGAACAGGGCTTCTCACTATTGGTATTTTGGATAAAAATCCTTTGTTTTGGAGACATTTAGCTGCCCTCTTGGCCTCTGCCCACCCGACGCCAGCAGGAGCTTTTTCTCTCCCTGTGTTATGACAACCCAGACTGTCCCAGCCTTTGCCAGCTGCTGCCTATGGCACACACCCTGCTTCTGTTCTTCTGAAAATCATTGTATGAACAGGAAGAGTCATTCATGAGCATAAGCCGTGAGGTGAGGTAAGGGTACCAGTCCTGGCCATGTGCCCTGCTTCTTCACCGGCATTGCCACTACAGCCCTAAAAAAACAAGCTCCAGAGAAATCTTCCACCTCCTTAGAATGTGTGAGGAAGATGTTAAGTATAATCTATTAAGAATATAACAGGTAACTTATAGAAAACAGACTTGAATCAGCATTAGACATTAGTAAAACTGTAAAGACATACAGGGGGAATAAAGAGTGATCCTGACAACCTCTTAACAGGAGGTCATATGCACAGAGCGGGGGGCACCTCAGAGTGGAGCAGGCAAACCAGAGGAGGATTGTATCCCAGACTGGGAGACTCCCAGATCCTCACCAAGGACTATCAGTATGGGCACCAAGGACTATATCCCAACTGTCAAGGAGACCACAGAGAATTGGAATGCCCTTGTAGGCCAAGAACTCTGAGGTCATCCACTCCCTTTCAGATCTACCACATGGGATGGAAGATGCCCAGATCCTTCCTCACAGGATCTAATGTCATCAGAACAACAACCAGGAATCCTGAGTGGATCTCAGAAACGGAAGAACAGTAAACTCCCTTCAGGACTTGGGATAGGCGCTTTCTCTGGTCCTTACTTAGTTCCAACTTTGGATCTCCACCCTCTCTTGCAATGACCATCAGGATCGCTCTGGAGACCCCCGCTCCTCGAAAAAAAAAATAGACTGAGACCAATAAGGAAAGCTTACAAGCAAGCAGGAAACGGTTAGCCTGGACTCATATACCTTACTAGGTAGGACACAAAGATTAGTTACTCCTCACTAAGGTATTGAAGATTTCTCTGCACACCCCTCCTAAAACTGCTCTGCACCTCAACTGTTGACATATGCCTTGTTGGAGTTATAAGCCAGTTTAGACTATCCTAAAATCTGCCAAGTTCAGCAAAATTATGCTTCAACACTATAAACTGCTAAATACTAAAATTAAAATAGACACGAGAGAGCTGAATAGTACCCTATAGGCATTTTAAGGTGTATAGAAGCCGGTTGTGCATAAACTAAAATTGAAATGTCAGTGAAGTAGTCACAGGATATGGTTAAGAACTTGCATTTTCTAACATATTGATCACTCAATACCATGTCAATTAACTCCATAATGTTGTAATTGTTGTTGATGTTATGTTGTGGCTTTTCATTGGATGGGATAATATTCTGCCAGCTCTACTTTCAGACCAGAGATGGTCTGAAACTGTTGAATTTATCTGGACAATAAGATGCTGGACTCTGTGCATGGTACATGCTTATGATGAAAAAATCTTGACTGGATTTGAACTGTAATACTGCAACAAGGTAGAGGAATCCACCATGGGGGGGGAGAGGGCTTGGGGGAATCCCAGAGCCTATGAAACTGTCACATATAAAATGAAAAAAAAAGGGCCCGGCGCGGTGGCGCAAGTGGTTAAGTCCTCGCCTTGCACGCCCGGGATCCCATATGGGCGCCGGTTCTAATCCCGGCAGCCCCGCTTCCCTTCCAGCTCCCTGCTTGTGGCCTGGGAAAGCAGTCGAGGACGGCCCAAGGCTTTGGGAACCTGCACCCGCGTGGGAGACCCGGAAGAGGCTCCTGGCTTCGGATCGGCATAGTATCGGCCCGTTGCGCTCACTTGGGGAGTGAATCATCGGATGGAAGATCTTCCTCTCTGTCTCTCCTCTCTGTATATCCGCCTTTCCAATGAAAAAATAATAAAAATAAATCTTTAAAAAAAAAAAAAAAAAAAAGCTCCATTCAACTCAGTTCCTAGATTAGGGAAATGCAGCTGGCAGCAATATGGCAACTGGGAACTGGGAGGTGAAAGAAGCAGGATTTGAACTTCGGTGTCTGATGTGAAAGCCCTGGTTCCCCACTGACCCCAGGATCACACCTGTGTATGATGGGGTATCTTGTATCTGGGTTAGAAGACATGCATTGAGCTGCTGGAGGTATATCTTATCTTCTACATAAATTAAGATATAGAATATAGAAACCTTTACTCAGTTTCAAGGCAGCCTTTTTTAGTCAATTTAAAATAAAAATAATGCATTGGTAGGTTATACATATGAAATTGTCACTTCTATGTCGGAAGCACCAAGTTTCAATATTTCACAAGAAGCGTAACCCAACAGATCACTTTCCTCTGGGTGAATATGTTTTGTTTACGATAGAAGCCTTGGAGAAGCAGTAGTTTGTATGAGTAGCTTCCATCTTAACATTGTGGTTACATTTTTTAAGCGTATTAAAAGAGCAAACCAGGGGAAGAACTTGGGTTATTTTTTGAAATATTAAAACATTTAATATTCTTGACTCTTTCAGAAGCCTCATTTTTGTTCCAATACAAAGTATTGGAGTCTTCATGATTCACAGAGAAGGAGCCTGGGGAAAGCGTTAGTCCTGGTGGTTAAGCTGCTCACCTCCTGGGCCCAGTGCCCAGCTCCAGCCCCCGGCTCCAGCTTCCTGCACTTCCAGTGCTGGGAGGCAGTGGTGCTCTCTGCAGTGACTTTGCTGCTGATGGCAGACCCATCGTGCAGGGTTGGACTTGGTCCCCGGCTCTCAGCCTGCACCTGAGCCGGACGCCGTGGTGGGCTTTCAGACAGTAAGGCAGGGGAAAGGTTTCCCTTCATCTACCTGTCCCTGACTCTCAAAGAAACAAATGCAGAACCAAAAAGGAAATTGATTCTGACACATGTTACAGCATGGATGTGCCTTGGAATCGTTACAGTCAATGATGGTGAAGTGAAACAAGCCAGGCACAAAGGGCAGACACTGTGTTTCTGCTTATATGGGTGTGGATATGCCCAGCAGTTACGATTGTGGAAGCAGGGCCCTGCACAGTAGCCTAGCAGCTGAAGTTTTCGCCTTGCATGCGCTGGGATCATCCTGGCAGCCCCACTTCCCATGCATCTCCCTGCTTGTGGCCTGGGAAAGCAGTCGAGGATGGCCTGAGGCGTTAGGACCCTGTGCCCACGTGGGAGACCCAGAGGAGCTTCTGGGCTCCTGGTTTCAGATCATTGTAGCTCCAGCCATTGTGCTTACTTGGGGAGTGAATCATTGAATGCAGAATCTTTCTCTCTGTCTTTCATCCTCTCTATATATCTACTTTTGTATTAGAAATAAAATAAATCTTTAAAAAAATAAAAGAGTGTGGAAGCAGAGAGTGGTGTGCTGCTGGCTGGGGCTGTGGGAGTCGGGAAGAGTTGCTCAATCATACTGCATTTTAGCTTTGCAAGGTGAAAAAGTTCCCAGGAGTGGTTGCCCAACAGTGTGAGCGTGTTTAGTATTCCTGAGCAGCACTCTTAAATATGGCATAAGTTTTATGCATTATATATTTAACCACAATTAAAACAGTGACATGACTTAACTGGTCTGTGTAATATAAATTGGTCATTAGCTGGATGAGACACAATCATATTTCTCCATAACATATTTTTATGATGTATAAATATACACTATATAATTAATCCTTATCCCATTTTCCATAACCTTTGGAAGCACTTTCACCCACTTTTAAGTTTTTAAAAAAGGATTTATTTATCTGCTTGAAAGACAGTCTTACGAAGGGATAAGGAGACACACACACACACACACACACACACACACACATGCACAGCTTCTATCTGCTGGTTTACTCCTAACTTCATCCAGGTCTGCTACATAGGTGGCAGGGGCCTACCCACCCGTGCCGTCTTCTGCTATTTTTGCAGGGTGGTTGGCAGGGAGCTGGAGTAGAAGTGGGGCAGTTGGGACTGGAATCTGCATTTGTATGGGAGCTGGTGTTGCAGGTGGTGGCTTAGCCTGATAAGCAGTGATGCTGGCTCCCACTTTAAGCTGCTTGAACTCACCAACTTGCTTCATCCCAGGACCTTTTCCCAAGCTGGTCTCCTGCTTGGAATGCTGTGTGTGTGTGTGTGTATAATTCTAGTTACTTGCTTTTACCCTTTATATTGTCATAGTGCCTGGTACTTCTTTCAGTTTCCATGTCCCTTTCAATCGGTATCCCTGATTGCTGTTGTCTTTGTAAACATGGTGACCCTCTTGTGTTGCTCAACTCTCTTCCTGGGACTAAGCTCAGCTTAACAGGTAGGAGAGTGTTTAGTAAATGAATGTTCAAAAGCTAAA